TCATCTTAAAACACCTATATAGTCGACTGCTGTTTACTTTCGTGCTCATATGCGTAAATCCACGATTTAACACCTTTCACGATAGACGTGCTTCGAAGCACCGCTATCGATACGACCCTCGTTTTGAATGATTGTGCTTGGAGAGATCAGGTTTGAAAGCTATAGCCCAACAAGTTCATTTACTATTTCCGTGTAAACAAAAACTTCAAATAATTGATTGTCTTGGCTTGTAATATATTTGGTAGCAATTTTAAAACTTTTTTAAAAGTTTAGGTGAATAAAATGTATTTGTCCAATCTATTTTCAACTATAGTATTAAAAATTCCGTTCAGAGCTAATTTTCACATTACATAACATTTATAAAATCGCTCACATTAAACTATATAATTTATATAGAGTCTGTATTTTACGGACTCAAAGTTTAAATGCAATAAAATAAGTTCAAAATAACTGCCGTTGAGCTTTAAACAAAATAAACACTGGCTTTCACTAAAGCTATCACTTCATCAATCCATAAATAATATTTTCAGTATATTGAAGCTCGGAGTTTTCGAAATAGCTGGCTTTCACTAAAGTTTTCAGCAATGGAACGCTAGCCACCACTAAAGCTTTAAGATTGGAAAAGCTGGCTTTCACTAAAGCTTTCACTGCATCAATCAATTGATATAAATATGCGTATATAAAGCTCCGAGTTTTCGCAGAAGCTTGCTTTTACTAAAGCTTAAAGCAAGCAAAGCTGTTCTTCACTAGTACTAAAAGCTAGGAACAGTTGACTTTCACTAAAGCTTCCTCTTCATAAATTCATTGATTATAATTCGAGCAAATAGAAGCCCGAAGTTTTTGAAGTAGCTTACTTTCACTAACGCTCAAAGTTGGGCAAAGCTGCTTACATTGAAGCTTTCACATCACGAATCTATTTATGAATGTAATTTGAGTATATACTCATAGAAACCCGGAATTTTTTAGGTAGGTTGGCTTTCACTAATGTTTAAAGTTAGGAAAAGCTTACATTTGTCAAATCTTTCACTTTACCAATCTATTAATAACAATTTGAGTATACGAGTATAGCGCTTGGCGTTTTCGAAGATATGTAAAACATTCATTTCGATATAGTTTAACTATATCTATACCTGAAATGTAAATTTTTGTCGCTAGGTTATAATCTAAAATAAATTTCTAGTAAAGGCCGTCACTCCTGATATGAAAAAGTTTTAATGAAAACCTTTTTTCGACGCTTGTAGGCTACACAGAAGCCTAAAATATATACTTCTCTATAACAGATAGAAATTTTTATGTCAAATAATTGTTCTGTTATTGGAAATATAATCCTGGCGTTAAAAAATTTTATTTAGCATATGCCAACACTAAAAATTAATAAATCCTTTATTTTAATGTTACTTTTTGCCAAAATAGTTATATCCAACATTTCTTTACCCACCGACTAACGGTAAATATTGCTAAATTTAAAATAATTATTGACATATGCTTTTACCAAATATGTGTATGTATGTATATGTGCGTAAGCGCACACAATTTCACAGTTGACATGTTTGGTTTCTGGTGTAAATATCAATATTTCACGTTTATCTCATTATTCAAGAGCCTAATTACGTGCAGTAATGTGCAAAATAAATTGAAATTATTAAATCCCTTAAGCGGAAAGAGCACTAGTTCCATGAATTACCGTGTGTGCGTGACAATTTTGCCTGTGGCAAGTGCGGATATCGGCAATAATACATGCCTATGCGCCTATACGCGTACAGCGTTTATAAAATACACAAACACATTATAACCATACATAACTATATGAGTATCAGCACATATTTACTTTGGCCCACTTGCATAGATAAATAATAAGCAGTTGGTTTTATGTGCTCTATTAACTTGTTCAGTGCTTTTAATTGCGAATTTATCATAACTCACAGATAGGTAAATACACACACATACATATGCACAAATTTATGCCATATTATACATATATATATATATGGTATGCCTGTTTGTAAGCACGTGTTAGTACCTGCATTTCGAAATATGAAAATATTTATGACTCTATTAATTTATTCATTTTTTAATTATCTATAAGTATATTGCTTAACACAGGCGCACTCATAAATGTACCGTTAAGTGTTACGTACCTAACCACACAGTCATAGATATTTACATATATATATAGGATGTGTGTATGTGTGTAGGCTGTGCTGTGATTATTATAAAGTGCAAAGCAATTTGCTGATTCGCGATGACCTTGTCTTGTATATATATGTATATAAATAGGTAAATACATATGCATGCAGGGGAGCAACATTTTAGCAGTTAAATTGTAATGAAGTGTACTTGGAGAATTGACACCTACCACTTTGAAGTGGTTCAGCTATTAAGTTTGGGGTTGGGTATGTATATACCTATAATTTTGTTTATTTTGGGTCTACATATTTACTTTTAATAATTACGTTTTAATAATTTTTGGCGAGTTTTCGCTTTCGAACACGTTTTATAAGATTTACAAACTTCTAAGAAAATGTTAAATTCGCTGCACTTATATAAAGTAAAATTTCATCAAAAAATCTGTGACAGTCGATTTGCACAAGCTTTGCTTGAGGTAAACTTTTCAACAGAAAAATCATTCATCCTAGACAGTTACAGGTAGTAATCACTTAGTGCGAGTCCTGACTATATGATGGTTGCATAAGAGCCTGCCAACCAAGCTCTCCGGACTTCTGGCAAGTCACCACCGATGTGTGTGGCCTGGCGTTGACCTGGTGGAATACAATTTCTCTCCTATTAACCAAATCTGGCCGCTTCTGGGTATTTGCTTCTTTCAGACGATCCAATTGTTGATAGTACGAATTACGAGTTGGGGCGCAACTTATAACAATGATGCCAATCTCACCAAACACATAGAAAAACTTTCGTGACCGTCAATGCTGTCTGTCCAGTCAAACCGGTTGCCCTGGTGCACTGCTATTCAAACACAACCGTTGCTATACGTTGCCTTATGTTCCACTTTTCATCACTAGTTACCAACCGCTTCAGAAATTTATCGATTTTGTTGCGATTCGCAGATGGAGATTCGATTCATGAGATCTTTAGCGTTATGTAAATAGTGTGGCACTTATACAGCGAGCTTATTTTTTGTTCAGGCATATCGAAATGGTTCCAAACGCATTTTTGAGCAATGTAAAGCGAAATGGTCGAAATCGATGATTTCCATTATTTTATCGATATATTCGACAATTTATCTTCGAGAGCGTGGTGCATCTTTGACATCAAAATTACCAGAACGGAATCGACGAAACGAAAATTGCGCATGAGTGAAGCAAAATTCACATTTTGAGCCCTTTTTTCGCCTTTATTGAAGAAAATCTGTAAAATATGACGTATTTTCTCTTAGCTGGTATCCATTTTTGAAGCGTGCTCAAACAATACTGAGTCAGGCAATTACAAAACTGTCGTGCTTTTTTTTCAGTACGAAAACTTATTATGTCAACTGGGCAGACAATTTTTAACTGGAAATATTTTCTAAACCGAAAGCTTTATTGAAATGACACTTACCAGCAAATATAATATAATTTGAAGGATTGCCTTGAACACTTTTCCTACTTAGTTAAAATAATATTTGCCTGTTTCTTTTTTTTTTTTAATTGGAATCTTAAAGCTCGCATCAAAGTTTAGTTTAGTAAAAAGCTTTCTGATATGTTGTCGTATGTACCATAACATATTAATTTTGTTCAAAGATGTTTTTTAAATAGAATATCTTCTCATTAAGTTTGTAGAGTCTCCATTAAAGTTAAGTTCAACCCAAAAGCTTTTTTATATTACTTCTATTATTATTTAATATGTAAGGAGCTATTTATCAAATGTTTCAAAATTTCATCAAATTTAAAATAAATTGCTGGCCGAAAATAAATTCAAGCCTTCGCTCCAAGCTTATTTTGTTAAACTTTATGTATGTATTTTTTCATTGAAGGCTTAGAGCTTTTATCAGTGTTTGCTTAAAAGTGAATTGTGATTTAATTGAAACCTAATGAATTGTACACGAGTTAGCCCAGTGTTAAGTTTACCTCGCCTATGTTAAGCGCATCAAAGTTGTGAATATCCAAAATCCCTGTTTGACAGCACTTTGACAGTTTAAGATATCTCTTTTGTTCGCAAATTTTTGGGACACACTTAACGGCATCATTTGGTTAAAGATACCATACATTCAATGGAAAGCAAAGTTAATAAAACAAGCAAGCAAGTATTGAGCGTTCTGGACACACAAAAAAAGCTTTTCGAAAAAATAAGTGAATAACAAAAAGTGCTTTCTAAAGCAGTAGTTTAAGAAAAAAGGTCCTTTTACTAAATGTTATTTTACATTTTTTCTGAACAATTTTACTGAATCGCCGTTATTTCATTTATGTACCCTTTTTGAAAAAAATTAATTTCGCTCACCCTAGTGCGCTTGTTAGCACAAGAGCACATGTTTATTGTATATATTATACCTACATAGGTATGCATGTGAAGTGGTAGGTGACTTAATTCAATTTTGTTTGAAATTAAGTTGGGGAAATTATTATTTACCTGGACTGCTACTACTTTTAGAGTATTTTGCGGAAATGACACGAAAAGTTTTTAATTGATAGAGTTAGCTGGCGAATTCAGAACATTTCAAATTTCAAATTTAATAAAAATAAAAAAAACCTTCTTCAAAAGATTTTAAGCAGACTTTAAAATAATTAAGTGCTGTAAAACTTTGTAAATCAAAAACTTTCGAAAAAGTATACCTTTCCACTTTTCGGGATCCTTTTGGAATACACTTTTTGATTATATATGGTTAATATAGCAATAACGTTGCCTACAATTAGGCGTATTGTAGAATAATATGAACTAACATGTATCAAAGACACACACCTAAAAGGTTGATGTAGGAGTCCATGTTCTAATATCTTGCAAATTTTAATAATAAATTTTTTTTTTAAATTATTTATCATTATAACATTTTATTTTTATTTATTCAGATACATTACGGTGTCATACAATATGGAACTTATTTCAAAATCTAATATGAACGCCTTGGAGGATCGTTCTTCAAAAAGCATGGGTAAGTCGAATTTTTTTCTATATTTATTTAAATTTGGATTTCTTAATTTTGTATAGTGTTGCGGCATCACTTGGTCACCTACTTTTTCTGATAATTTCAAAAGCTCGCAGATGCAGCTAAAATATTTCATAGTTGTAGCACTTTGAACTAAAGATGTCACTCAATAGTATTTTGGCATAATTTTTTTGAAATTTTTTGCATTTCTCTTTTAGAAAAATTAAAAATGTTGGATATAACACGAGATCGACCAGTTAAAGTGGCAGTAAAGGTGGCGGTACCGGTGCGAGATCATCCAAAGGTAGAACAACATCAACAAAAACGGCTGTTGGAAAATCAATTCATGTTATTTTTGGAATGTTTGTTTTTTTATTTATAATTTAATTCAGTTCAATTTCGTTGGTAAACTCTTGGGTCCTAAGGGCAATTCTATGAAGCGTCTTCAAGAAGAGACAATGTGTAAAATGGCAGTATTGGGTCGTGGATCGATGCGTGATCGTAAAAAGGAGGAGGAGTTGCGTGCCAGTGGCGATAGTCGTTATGGCCATCTCTTTGAAGATTTACACGTAGAGATTTCCACATTTGCAGCGCCCGCAGAAGCTCACGCACGCATAGCATATGCGCTGGCTGAAGTGCGGAGGTTCTTGGTGCCGGTAAGTACATCATGATACATTTGGTTTCTTTAATTTTGATCCAACGGCATGTTTGAATGGATAAATTAGAGTCGTCGGTAGGTGTGAGGTAGTGCGAAGTTATTGTAAAGGCGGGGAGAGAAAGAGAAAATAATGTTTTGGTCCGTTATACATAAGTTACGTTAGATTAGTTTCGATGGCTGATCCTCAAGATGGAGTTTGCACTTGGACTACTTCATATAGGCTTTTGTGAAGCCATAAAATATAATTCCTGAATCTGACCCTATAAGTTGATAAACCTCCTTGAGGGCAATACGAATCTGCTTAAATGTTTAATTTCTATTCCCATCAGATCAGTGGGATATCTGAAAGTGTGAGCTCCCAGCGAGTGTGAGTGAGTCTTTAAGCTTTAATCTCGCAAAGACGTGCGTTATTGAGATCTTTCAAACTCGTCTTCTTGCAAACAGCTTTTATAGCTGGCATACAGTAAGATTCTTAGCCTTACAGCATGGACGCCGATATGGCAATGGCCAGTTAGAACCCTTACAGCTAGGAAGAGGCTGAACTTACTAAGGACAAAAAGCTTACTGGACCTCTTGCAGTCGACCTTTAGCCAAAAGTATGTGGCGACAGCGCAAGCACCGATGGTAGTCCAGTGCTGGCCAAGCTCCTGCGAAACCCAGCTAACCAGTAGTAGAAGGCACTAAAAAATGGAGAACCGACCTGTTTTGTCATAACCATTTATTAATATACATTTTTAGGACTATCACGATGACATACGACAAGAGCAAATGTGGGAAATGCAAGCGCTGAGTTCCTCTTCTTCGCTGACCTACACCGACGATCAGCATAGTCCCAATCGTGGTGGAGTCACCGATATGGATACATCGAATGATGAAAAGCTCGAATTGGAACCGAATGGCATGGAATGCAATACATTGGATAAGAACGAGACACAACAAGTGAGTTTAAGCAGTGAACAGCAGCAACAACAGCAGCTGCATCAACACCAGCAACAGCAACAACAACGCAATTTACATCATTTACTACATCAACCACCCCCTCCGTCAACCCGTGGCCCCAACACCCCTGTCGCCACAGTTGCAACTCATCATCACACAAATCTATTGCCGACCAATACCGATGGTCTCTGTCAGAAAGCGAGTGCCGGCAGCACAGCAACAGCTAGTAAGTCATTACATGTACACACATACAAATATATATGCATATACTTGAACGAATAACCACAATAATTTGGCAATTAAAGTGAATTCCTACCCACTAGTACACCCAACGGCTATGTCGGTTGCATTACAACACCAATTGACCGCAGCCAGTATTGGTAATATATTGAAGCCAGCCGCACCGACGGCAGCTGGTGTGCCTACGGTTACTGATTTGCATACGGTAACGCAACAGCCCAACACAGCTGGCGGCATACCATTGCCAACGGAGGCTGAAGCGCCCATGGCAACCACATTGGGTTTGCTGGATCCACCCACTGGCGCGTTACTGCATCCGGCGTTGCGCAGCGTGAAGGCAATCAATATTGGTGAGTTGAAGTAACGACGTTTGTGATTGCAGTATTGAATTATTGTTTCGGTTTCGTGTCCGCACGCTCTCTCTCTCTATCTACCTCTCTCTCTCTCCGTATTTTTAGCGGGTGGCTTGGCACGCAAGCGGCCACTATTGGGTGTGCCACGCTCTAGCATGAATCCAACTAAACGCACTGTAATGACTTTACTAGCCAGAGCCAAGAACTCGCAGGCCTTGCATGCGGTACGAAATCCGATTACAGCAGCTACGGCGGCCCGATTTGCTGAGTGAGTATATGCATATGTTTTTGTTATTATTATTATACCAATATCTCGTTGTTGGATTCAGTACCTATATTGGTCATATTAATATACCAAAGAGCTAAAGTAGAGTCTAAGATCCTGTATCTACGCTTTTAAGCTATTTACACGTATATTTTTTGGCTTTGGGATCTTAAAAATGTGAACGGTTTTTCAAGGTTTCCAAAAGTTCATATTTCCTACTTGGAAGCTGCTTACCTACAATACAATAACAGCCCTTAGTCTGATAAAATCTAGTTAGCCAGATCAAAATGGGTAGAAGCGGCTGTTGTGGGAATCGCGGGATATCTTCCCTTAAAGTTTGCAAGTCAAATTGTCATCTCTTTTGGTTAGTGCGATTCAAAATTAATATATCTCAGTTATTATTGCGGTCATTTTCTAAATAAATTTTGAACTTTAAGCAAACAGCATAGAACTCTCAGGGTGTAGGAAATAATTTGACTTTCACGAGAACATGAAACCGAATTCTTTTGTCACAGCAAAATGTTGTGTATATTATCATCCTAGCAATGGTTAAATACAGCTGCTGCTACTAGCCTATCCTGGTCGAATTTTCTTCTTTTTCTTAACAATAAAAAGACCTCGAATGATTTTTCTAACAATTCTAAGACGAAATGGAATAAGCCCCGCTTTCAAAGACTGTCACCACACCAGCAGCCCTCAAATGTTTTGGTGAATGTTCTATGCAAATACAACAACAAAAACAGTGACTTGTACTCATTCGTACATTGTATATATGCCAAAATATGTATTATATACACTCACTGAAGGTTTTTTAATCGAACGTGTGGCTATATTATAACGGGTGTTTTTTTTCGAGGTACAGAACTTTAAGTTGGCATTACTGTTCAAGATGGCGACCGATTTAACAGCTGTCAAGTGATTTATTCTCAGTTTGATTTGCAATTCATTACGAATTTAATGGTTCTGTGCGGAATACGTATCGCGTACTACGTTCATTTTATCGTCGAGCGCACTTCTGGTTGAATGGCTACGTCAACAAACAAAATTTCCGCATTTGGAGTTCAAACCACAAACGTTTAACCATTTGGAAGACAACATTCGCTGTGTTATTGCCGATATACGGCCACAAATGTTGGAAAAAGTCATCGAAAATTGGACGTCCAGATTGGACTACATCCGAGCCAGCCGTGGCGGTTATATGCCAGAAATCATATTTAAAATGTAATGCCACAAGATTATCTTTCGGATAAATAAAATTCATGTCAATCAAATAATCCATCGTTGTTTTATTGCAATTTAAAGTTCTCTACCTCTAAAAAAAACACCCGTTATATTATAATAATTATCCCATCCGTAAAACCATTTTTTTTCGCTTTCAGTCCCTTACAGATGCTTACCTCCCCATTTATATTATCATCGCAACCCATGGATCAGTCGATGCTTACATTTCCTAAGGAAAGTCTCGCACAAGGAGTCTAAGTCTAATACACACACAAAAAGACAAGGTATTTTGAATTGAAAAATTTTGATCCTTATTGAGCCCGCCTCCACCTACACACCAATGTATTACAATTAAGAAATCACAATATATAAGTAAAATATTTAATATATAATATATATATATTATATATATAAATATATATTTAAAAACAAAAACTCGCCCAACGCAAATATAAATTAAACTTAAAGAAAGCAAATACAAAAACAAAACGTGAACTGTTAAATTAAAAATAAAGTAAAAATATAAAAATAAAAAAGGCAAATAAATAAATTATACAGATATTTATACAATTATACCTAAACTTATCGGAATGTTGAAATTAACGACACATTACGAGTATTATGAAGAAACACATCTTTAGGGACTAACTGGCAACATAAGTGTACACGACAAGTAACTTTGAAAACAAAAACAAAAACAAAACATAAAAACGCAATATATTTTATTTACACATAAAACCTAACACTTAAACTATATTACTAAAATCAAAGCAAAAAACAAAATTAATAAATATATATATATACTATATATTAAGCAAAACATAAGCGAAGTCTTAAAATAATTGAAATTGAAATAAAAATGTCTTGACAACGCAAACATTTGTTTTATTCTACATATTCACATTATAAATGATTGAAAATAAAATTAAATACAAAACAAAACAAATACAAACAACTTATATATATATAAACATTTAAATGCTAAAGTATTACTTAAATATAGTTAATAATAAACATGGGAAATTAAATTAAGATTTAAACAACATTGCAATTTAATGTGAAAAGAACTTTAATGTGAGACATAAACAGCAAACGAAATTACTTTAAAGCATTACTTTAAAACATTACAAATTTTTAAAGAAATATTATATATTTATATTGTATTAACATAATTTTTTACGATTTTAGACTTGAAAACGCAATTAGTTTCCATGTTGCTATAAATGTGTGTACTAAAAATAATTATAAATACATAGAGTAAATATATATATATATATATATATGTATATGTATTAATATGTGTATGAGTAGTATATGTGCATGCAATATACGCAGACTAAATACAAACATACAAACAAACATACAATATGCATATACAACAAAGCTGAGCGATGATTTTGAGGCATTGCTTCCGTGAGTGGGATGCAGCGCGTCCTTAGCCGCCCGTGGCAATGGTTTCAAAGCAATGCAAAGGGAAGCACCGAAAGGCTAGCGATTTATCGATTATTAACACTGACGACTTGGGAGTGGGAGAAAATGCTTAAAAGTTATAAAATGAAAATTAAATGGAAATTAATAAAAATAGTAAATTTGAAAAAAAATTTTGAAAATAGAAAAAAATATATGAAAATACAAATAATATAAAAAATGTATTAAAATGATATGTATATAAAAAACAAAATATAAACAATGAAAAATATATAAAAATAAAAAATAATATATAAAATATAAGACACATAAAATTGAAAAAATATGTATAAATAAATAATATATATAATAAAAAAAATTATAAAAAATTAAAAATATAAAAAATATTATTAAAATAAAAAAAATAAAAAATATAAACAACAAAAAAATATATAAAAATAAATAAATGTATATAAAATAAAAAACAGTTAAAAATATATATATAAAAAAACCAGGGTTACACATCTTTTTATTAAAAATTTTCGCTATAAAAATTGAAAATATGAATATGAAAAAATGTATATAAAAAATAAAAATTATATATAAATATAAAAATTAAAAAAACATAAAAAATTAAATAAAACTAAATTAAAAAATACAATAAAAAATTTGAATATTTTAAAACTAAAAAAAATATTTGAATTAAATAAAAACGACCTGAAACCTAATTTAATTTAATCCCAAAATCAAAAATTGGAAATTTAATTTCTTAATCCGAAAATTTAAATTAAAAATTGGTCAAATAAAGTTTAATCCAAGCATTGGAATTACATAAAATTATTATATTTCATATGAAAAGCTGAAATGAAAAGGGATAAAATAAAGGATAAGATTTACAAAACTATACATAATTAAGAGTAATTAAATGTAAATAAGCAAAGATGCTTAACTTTGTTGATATTTTATTAAACATAAGCTATCCTTCTCAAAAGGTAACCAAAATGGAGGATAACGAAGTAAGCAAGAGCAAAATAATTTAAAAATCAAAAACACAATTTATTTCTTTAATTTTTGATTATAAAATTAGGATTAACATTTTTTTTATTCTTCAATCTGTTATTTGGGATGAAAGTCTTAAAATTATTTTATTGAGGACTTTCGAGATTATAAAGTAAAAAAAATTGTATTCAATTGCCTTTTCAATGCAGTATTTGCAACTCTTAAATAAATTATAAAATGTAAAAATAAAAAAAAATTTAAATATATCAACTAATATGATATAAAATCAAATCAAATAAAAAATCATTTACATTAATTAAATAATAGAAAAGCGTAAGTAAAATTACGTAATTTAATAATAATAATAATAATAAAAAATAATATAAAGACGTGTTTAAATTTATAATAACGTTTTCGCATATTTTGCTCATAAATGTCGGCCAAGAAAAACTTTTTTTAACTTTAAAAACGAATTTATTTACTAAAAACTCTTAAATAAAATACAGCTTTTAAAAACTGGTGGAATAATAAAAAAGTTAAATATAAAGTTAATAATAAAAGCAATAAATTAAAAGTATAAAAACCAATACATAATCAATAAAAAAATATATATTTTATAATAAAATAAATTAAATATCAAACTAAACTAAAATAAAAAAAATTTTTAAAAATTAAAAAGAAAACGTAATAATATTAATAAAAAGATTAAAACAATATGAAAAATTAAAATATAATAAAATCAAAAACTAAAAAATAAAATATTATTAAATAAATTATGAAAAATTAAAATAATTCATATAAAGAATAAAATGTTTAACATAAAAAGTACAATAATTAAAACATTTCCGCGCAGAACATCGCTCAACTTGTCGCTTTCACAAATTTTATTTAATAAAAGTGCTACATACTTACATAGTTGCATATAAATATAAGTACATACATATATGTATTGCATGCTGCAATTTGTGTATGCGTATGTGTTAAAAACAAAAAAAAATAATGGGATAATATATAAAATACATATTTACAAGCAAACTAAAGCACCAACAATAAACGCGCCACTCAAAATTTAAGCGAAAGCTTAAATAAAATACGACGAAATACACATTATTTACTAATACATACATATGTAGATACTTATAATTATAATTTTTATTGCTATAGATTTACAATATATTATTATTCATGAATCTTTTTTATTGTTACTTAATTAAAAAATTTTATTTTTTATTTAAAACTAGGGCAAGCATATAATTTTTATATAAAATTGTTTTAAATAATATATAATTTTTTAAATTAAAATGTATATGCATTCTACTTAATTTTGTATATCATATATATTTTTTATTGTCATTTAATTAAATTATTTGTAATAAAATTTTATTTATCTTTTTCTTATTTCTTATTTTATTTTTTATTGCATTTATTATAGCTTGTTATACTTTTTTTTAATTTCTTATTTTATTTATTTTTTAATTACATATTAAATGTATGAATTATATTGTATATTATACATATTTTCTTAAACCTTTTTATATTCCTTTTTAATTTTTCACACATTTTTTTTTACAACTTCACTTAATAAATTTTGCTTATTATTTTATGTTTATTTTTATTAAATTTATTATTTATTTTTGTTTCTCTTTTCATTTTGTAGAGTTATAAATGGTATACTGATGTTTTCTTGCAATTCGTGCGATGAAGGGCGATATATTGAAGACTTAGAACCGCAGAGTTTGTTTCATTTTGTTTATTGTCCAAAATCACTAAAAACAATTTTCGCAGTGCAAGCAATCATAAATAATTTGCAGTTGACATGATAAGTAAATATAAAAACATACAATCTATCGAATTATATGTTACTGGCATAAAGAAATTTATTATTTACTGTACTTACCATATATGCAGGGTTGCTAATTTTTTAATTAAAATTTTCGGTTTAAAAATTTGATTTAAAAATTTTCTATATCCCGTATGCGGGATTACAAAATAAAAAATTAATTCAAATACTTATTAAATTATTTTTTTAATGCATTATTTGCAACCCAGCTTAATTATTTCATTATAACTAATATATTTTGCAGTGATATTGATAAGCATGTGACCGATATACAGTTCACGACGCCGTATTTTATTTCATATTCATTTGAGAAAATTATTAACAAATTGCTTTTCCAAAATTTTCTCTAACAACAACAATTTGCATAAATGTCGTTTTCTTGGTTACATAAGAAATTTTAGCTTAATTAGCACAACTAGTGTGATATTAAAAACTAATTTTGTTTTCCATATTTCGAAAGGTTATACCTTTAAAAATAACATACTAAAATTGGAAATCGATAACTCAAATAGTTTTCGAGTTACAGCCTTCTCAATTGTAACCACTCAATCAATTTATCTTTTAACCCTTTTTTTCAAAACTGATTTTGACACCTCGTGGTGGTTTAGGAAACGCAATTGTATCCCTAAAAATTGACCGTTTGGTGCGGATTGTGGTAAAGCGGCATTATCGGGCCTTATTTCCTTCGAAATGAGGACAAGCTCCAACAAGACGGTGAGCCGCCTCATGTTTCACATCTAAACAAGCACTCGTTAATTTTGAGAAATGACTCAGTCAAATGGCCGCCCAGATCATGCAATTTAACGTCTCTAGATAATTTTATCTGGGGTATGTTAAATCAAACGCCAATCGACCAGTAACGTTCGAGGAGCTCGAAAACAACATACAGCACCCTATAGTCGAAATTCCAGCCGAAATGCTGCACCGTGTCAGCGAAAATTTACCTAAACTGGTGAAAATATGTAAACGGAGCCGCGGTGGCTATTTGGTCGATATTTTGTTGAAATCATAAATTGCGTGAAATTATCTGCAGAACAAAAAAAAAGCAGAACTCATTCTGACCACATTTGAGGCTTTATTTCATTTTAACATTACGTCGTTCTTATTGGTAGACCCAGTTCTCCATACAATGACCTACCAGTTTATTCCTCTGATCAAAAATTGAATTTTGGCAAGGCAAAAGCGACCAAATTTTAGGTAAAGTTAAATTATTTTTCAAAACGCATAAGTTGTTAGCACCGTGGGAGATCGTGTATAACTCGAAAAATGTTTAGCTTATTTTTAAAAAAAATTTTACTGTGTATTCTTAAAATACGTATAAATATACTTAATGTTCTAAAACAATTGATTGAGAAAATTTTTTTTTTTACCAAAAATGGCCTTTTAGGTTTGATATTTTTAAACAGAATTTAAAAAAAAAATATGAAGTGGTTTGTCTCATCATATTTTGTTTGCGTGTTCGTTTGCTCAGTTTGTTTTTATTACTAATATAATAATAATAATAACAGTAATAATAATAATAATAATAATAATAATAATGGTTTGTTTTGTTTTACAAAGATAATTTCATTTTTATTATTCAAAATTGTATTTTTTTTTAGTTTAATCATAATATAATATAACGATAGCTTGCTGCTTATTGTTGTTTTTGTAATTTTCATAACTCATTTGCTATTAAATTAATGACGGTACTTTTCACGCACATTAAGTTCGACTCCATTTTTATAATACTAAACATACATACAAACGTGCTTCTGCATACACTTCAGAAAAACAACAACAACACATTGCAATAAAATTAAGTTTATGATTATTAAATAATATGTACAACAACAATAAAGTCAATGTAATTTACACATAAATAATAATTAATGTTAATTAATGCAAAAATGAAGCATAAAATAATATATGTGTATGTTTATGTATGTATATTAATGCAAAACAACAAGCGCTTTAAGAGTAAACAAAAAGGAAACGAATAAACTATGGAATCAAAATGTTTTTAAATGTGAACGCATTAAATCATCAATTAAACAATTAAAGAAATCAATAATTAAAAGCAGAAACACGAAATTAATGAAATTAAACTAATTTACTAAAAAAATATTTAAATTTATATATACACTTAACTAAATGTTAGCAGCGATACTAAATGCATTTTAAGTAACTAATTCAAGAACACAAAAAATACAACAAAAAAATATACATATATACATATATTAAAAGAAACTAACATAAAAAAAATTAAAAAAAAAATAAATTTAAAAAAAAACAATTAAGCATATATACTTATAAAGCAATTACCAATAATTAACTGTTGTACCACAAATATTGATTACTGCATGTTTCAATGTGAAAAGCTAACAGGTGTTGAATTTCAAAAAAACAAAATAAATGAAAAAATAAAACAAAAAAAAAAGGTTTGGTTAGTAAAACGGCAATACAAAAGAAAAAATAAAAGAGTTGGCTGAGATTTATCGACTAATTGTTCCGCAACAAATAAAAGATATGAAAATATTCCAAGCAAACAGAGCTAACGAGAAGTATTAACTGATATGCAGCATATTTAAATTATGAATTAAAAATAAATTATAAAAAAAAACACACCGAAAAATACAAAACAGAGTGTTATTATCACAAGCGCTGAACTCAACAAACACAAACGGCAGACAAACACCTGAATACATATTTACATACATGCACACGGCCAACACCAACACGAAAGGCAATGCAATAAAACTTCAAACTATTTCGTGCGCCCAAAACAAAAATCTAACAAGTTTTTTTATTAAAAAGTGGGCTTGTTTAGTTATAGTTGGAAGCAGGTAAGTACATAAATACTTGTATGACGTTTTTAGTGCATTTCTTTAGGCACAGAAGAGTATAAAAAAATCCTTAACTTGATTTTGATTGGTCAGTTTATATGGCAGCTATACGCTATAGTGGTCCGATCTGTAAAATTTTTTCGGAAATTCTAGGGTTGCTTTGGACAATAATTCATGCCATATTCCGTGAAGATATCGTATCACATAAAAATGTTTTCTATACAATAACTTGATTTTTAACGATCGGCGCTATCCTACAGTTGTCCAATATCAGGCTTGGAATTTATTAACTACAAACATCTTGTATCTATTTCAGCCAGTTTGGTTGGTATTCACACTAGTGTGTATACGAAATGTTTGTTATTGAATCCCAAGGTCGATATCTTTCTTATCACCGTCAGCTTACAATTCCCGTCAGCAGCAAAGTCTTTTTTTACTTTTATTCTTTAGATTCATTCTAAAAATATTTCGATTTTCGGTTTTAATATTTTGCATTTAATTTATTAAAATTTCGTTTTTCCAATTGTGGGATTTTACCAAATTAAAACCACCACCTATTTCTTTCGAAGAATTTAGAAGTACTCCCCTCATTTTCCCTACCTGGCTTAATATTTTGACTAACGGAAAACCGTTAGCTGATCTCTAGTAGTGGGCATCCTATTGATAATAAAATGATATAAAGTTACCAAATATTATCAGATATAATACATTTTATAAAACATACAAACAACAAATATGAACATCTCAATACATGATATGTATATTTTTGAAAAGCTAAATACATACATATTTATATACTTACTTAAGGTAAGCCACACCTGTTGGTAATGAATTGATAAAACTATCACGCGCTTAAGTAATTGAGAACTACGCTTATAGTGCGCCAATATTCAAAACATCGCACACATAATTAATGATAAGCTACGAATTTCATCAATAAATAAATTTCTAGCTAAGCTTCTAAGCTAAACTTGTTTACTCTACTCCACTCACAATATTTCACAATCGTACAGCTATTTACATGACTTTTTATCGATAAATGTTTGAGTACATGCCTATCGAACTGTGGTTTGTATAAAACTTGCTGTTAACGTGTGGCAACACTCACTGCTGCTATCACACAGCCGAATAGTTGTTATCATACAATTATTTGTTTTGAAAAGTTCTAATTGTATTATTGTGCTTTAGGTTTAGTTGTTGAAAATATCTTAATTTAATCATCCACCCGAGCATATTTGCTTTTTGTTATCGTTTGTGATTATCATTTACAATTTATAGGCGTTTGCATAGCTGTTTTAAAACTCAGAATCCAGTTGGCATTCAAGTAAATAGGACGCATTTGTTCAAACATAGATATACGCGTTGAAATATACAAATTACATTCACTCTAAATTATAAATATCAAGTGATAATGGCTGAATCGACAAATGGCAAATATTGCTTTGCAATTGATCGCGGTGGCACCTTCACCGACGTAATTTGCATATGTCCAAATGGAAAAGTGCGTACTTTAAAGCTGTTATCAGAGGATCCCAGCAGATATAGTGATGCACCGCGGGAGGGTATAAGACGCATATTAAAAGAGGTATAAAGCGGTTGCAAAGCAATTTAACAATTTATTTTAACAAAAGGAAAATGTAGTGTCTAAATGATATATGTATGAATATTTATTTTTATTGCATTTTTTTCACTCTTAGGAAACTGGACGTGATGTAACGGCGGAGGGGCTTGTGGATACTAGTCAGATCGGTTGGGTACGCATGGGTACAACTGTCGCCACCAATGCATTACTGGAGCGGAAGGGTGATCCCGTGGCGCTGGTGGTGAATGAGGGCTTCCGCGATCTGTTGTATATTGGCAATCAAGCGCGTCCAAAAATATTCGACCTTAATATACGTAAACCGTCCAATTTATATAAAACTGTAGTAGAAATTAATTGCCGCATTGTGCCAGAGCAAGCAAGTCGCTGTCAATTAGGTAAACGCGCTGTTACACAAGCATGACTGCATTTAAATAAACTACTTTTGTTTCATAGAACACACTTGGCCGTTGCTTGAAGGCACTTCGGGTGCAAAATATTTAGAAATGCAGCGCGTTGATGTGGCAACTGTGCGTGCAGCACTGCAACAGGTGCGCGAGGAGGGCATCACAAGCGTGGCGGTGGTGTTGGCGCATAGCTTTGCGTGTCCCGTACACGAGCTGCAAGTTGGCGCAATAGCAGAGGAGCTTGGCTTTACGCACATTACACTCTCACATCAAGCTATGCCGATGCGGCGCTTAGTAGCGCGCGGTTACACAGCCTGCGCCGAGGCATATTTAACACCGCACGTAGAACGTTATCTTAACAGGTAATAAAATTGTGCTTGATAAGACAGCTAAGAAAGATAATACCTAGTCAAATTGAATATAAATACATTGTACAAGTTTTTATCTGCTGCATATCTAACAGTTTCATATAGAATAATTTAAATGATTTAAAATAAGATAAGTGAATTTGTTTTCAACAACATCTTACAGTTTCAAATCTGGCTTCGATAAAGAATTGGCTGGTGTTGATGTGCTTTTTATGCAATCGGATGGTGGCTTGGTGCGCATGGAGAACTTTCGCGGTGCGCGCGCCATCCTCTCTGGTCCCGCTGGCGGTGTGGTGGGTTACGCAATGACAGGCGCGCGTGAGACGGAGGCGCCGTTAATTGGTTTCGATATGGGCGGCACATCCACTGATGTCTCACGGTATGCTGGCAGCTATGAACATGTCATTGAGAGCACAACGGCCGGTGTCACCATACAAGCGCCACAATTAGATATTAATACTGTGGCGGCCGGTGGTGGTTCCATGCTTTTCTTTCGTTCTGGTCTATTCGTAGTCGGCCCTGAATCTGCCGGTGCGCATCCTGGACCGGCGTGTTATAAGAAAGGTGGTCCACTCACTGTCACAGATGCGAATCTGATATTGGGTCGTCTATTGCCGGAATATTTTCCAAAAATTTTCGGTCCTAAAGAAAATGAAGCACTCGACTACGCAGTAACCAAAACGAAATTCGAACAAATGCGCGTGCTGATTAATGAGCACCTAAAAAGTGGTGGCGATTCGAAGCAATTAAGTATAGAGGATGTTGCTTTGGGCTTTATACGCGTCGCCAACGAGGCTATGTGCCGTCCCATTAGAGCGCTAACACAAGCGCGCGGCTTGGACACATCCCAGCATGTGTTGGCGTGCTTTGGTGGCGCTGGCGGTCAGCACGCCTGCTCCATCGCGCGTGAATTGGGCATAAGCAAGGTATGTGAATATAATTTTAGATTGCTAATGTTTTATATAATTTAATAATAATTATTCTAATCGCAACAAAAAGGTGCTTGTGCACAAGTACGCCGGCGTACTATCCGCTTACGGCATGGCGCTGGCCGATGTTGTGCAAGAGACACAAGAACCTTGTGGTCTGGCGTTCTCAGCTGAAAATGCCGCTTTCTTCAAGACGCGCTTGGACGCATTGGCCGCACAGTGCGCCAGCAGTTTGCAGTCGCAAGGTTATAGCAAAATCGAATTGCAGCCATTCTTGCATTTAAGATACGATGGCACCGATTGCGCGCTGATGTGCGCGCCCGCCGCCACAACGCGCAAAGAAGACGCATTGCTCGCGTCTTATGGCGATTTCATTGCCACGTTCCTGCAACGCTATCGCACTGAGTTCGGTTTTGTGTTGCAAAATCGCGCAATTGTTGTAGATGACATACGCGTACGCGGCTTGGGTAAGAACAATACACCACCTGAGTTGGAAATCAAGAGAACGGCAGTAGAGACACCAAGGCCAAGCGGTTTTACACGCATTTTCTTTGAGCAAGGCGCACACGAATCACCGATTTACTTAACCGCGAGCCTGTTGGCGGGCAGTAAAATCAACGGACCAGCAATTTTGATTGACCAACTGTCAACCATACTTGTTGAACCCGATTGTGTGGCAGAAGTGACGCAGCACGGCGATCTCGTGATAAATATTAGCTCCTCTAATCGCACAGTGGTCGATTGCAAACTCGACGCCATACAGCTGAGCATTTTCAGCCATCGCTTCATGAGCATAGCTGAGCAGATGGGCAGGTTAGCTTGCGTTAAGTTCTATTTTATTGGAAACTTTTGAAATTATTTGTTTATAATATTTAAAGAGTGCTCCAACGCACATCGATTTCGACCAACATCAAAGAACGCCTCGACTTTTCATGCGCGCTCTTTGGCCCCGACGGTGGTCTCGTGAGCAATGCGCCACACATACCCGTGCACTTGGGCGCTATGCAAGAGACGGTGCAATATCAATTGCGCGTGCGCGGCGATAGTCTGCAGAACGGCGATGTTATATTGTCCAATCATCCGCAAGCGGGCGGTTCGCATCTGCCAGATTTTACCGTCATCACGCCGGTATTCTATCGGTGAGTCAAAACTTAATTTACTTTAACAAAAGTTTAGTTATTATATTCTCTCCACACTCTCTTTTCCTCTCTCTCTTCACCTTATAGTGATCAACCGAAACCAGTTTTCTTTGTCGCCTCACGTGGTCATCACGCCGACATCGGCGGCATCACGCCCGGCTCTATGCCACCGCACTCTACATCGCTGGGACAGGAGGGTGCCGCCTTTAAGTCTTTTTTGATTGTCGAAGGTGGCGTGTTCCAGGAGCAGAACATTGTTAAGCGTCTTACCACACCGACCGGCGCTAAGGGCGCCACTGGCACACGCAATCTACCCGATAACATTTCCGATCTGAAAGCGCAAATTGCCGCCAATCACAAAGGCATACAACTCGTGTCGGAGCTCATCGATAGCTATGGCTTGGATGTGGTGCAGGCCTATATGAATTATATACAACAAAACGCTGAAGTCGCGGTGCGCGATATGCTCAAGGAAATTGCACAAAATGTGTTGAAGCGCAACGGCACCACCACTTTGGAAGGAC